GTGTGTGTGTATGTGTGTGTGTGTGTGTGTGTGTGTGTGTGCGTGTGTGTGTGTTGTAATGCACAGTTGTGTTCCACATGCATGGCAGTGTGAGGATTGCATATGTACTGGGCTAAGGCCCCCAGCAAGCCTCGTGCCCGCCCTAAGTGAAGGCGGGCCTGTAAATGCCCAGAAGGCCCTACATTCGGCATTTCATTAAGTGGGGGCTATACGGTTTCAGCATGCCAACTGGTTGGGTGCACGCCAGTTGGTTGGATGCACGAAGTCCAGAATTCTGCAAACGCAGGTTGGATGCCGAATTTGCCAAAGGGAAACCGGTCCACTGTCTGAATCTGGACGATGATCAGGATGAAAGAGGCACAACTGTGCAACCTCGGCCCTTAACTGTACTGCGCCTGGGCAGAGCAACTGGGACCCAAGCCCACGCTATCTGCTTTTGCTTTCAGTGTGATTTGCAGTTTGGATTTCTGATCTTCAACCACATTCATGTTCCTTGCATCAGTGGGAGATCCCCCAAAAAGTGGCAAAATGCCAAAAACATTTTTTTTTTCCATAAATGCTCAGAATCACCTCAATTTTTTTGGGGGGGATCTCCCAGCCTTCCGCAAGAACATCCCATTTTTTTAGTTTTATTTTTTAATTTTTTTAATGCCAAAAACCATTTGTCCGGGATCCCGGACAACTCCCATACCGGACGGTTGGGGGAGACGTCCGGCTGAGACGTCCGGTCATCGGACGACTGGTAACGTAGTTTTGAAGTCTATTGTTAGCGGCCAACTTCCGTAGGAGGACGCCGAATACAGATTTGTTTGTCACCGTCTCGTGACGAAGTTCATAATAACTCACAACTATGATATTATTTGGTGTTTTTCACGTGTATCCCCAATGTAAACATTTTATTATTGTAAAAACGATTCTTATACAAGAGCATAAGGATTAAAAAATAACATATAATGTTTTGAAGTTCATTGTTAGCAGCCAACATTCATAGGAGGACGCCGAACAAAGATTTGTTTACCACGGACTCGTGACAATGTTCAGAATAACTCACAACAGTGATATTATTCAGTGTTTTTTCACATATATCCCCAACTTAAACATGTGATTATTGTGAAAACGATTTTTATTACTAGAGCATAAGGATTACAAAATAACGTATGTTATTTTGAAGTCTGTTGTTAGCAGCCAACATCCGTAGGAGTATGCCAAATACAGATTTATTTGCCACCGACTTGTGACAATGTTCAGAATAACTCACAACTGTGATATTATTCAGCATTTTTTCACATGTACCCCCAACAACTATTTTCATAAACAACCTTCTTCAACCTACATAACGTTCTGCTACTGACTATTAAGATCAATTGCAAACAATAGCACTTCGTGTCCAGCATGTCTTGCTGCGTGCATGTAGAAGCGTTTGCAACATTGATATTGTTTGGTCTCGTCGCTTCGGTGAACCACTTGAGCGAACATGTGATTATTGTCAAAATGACTATTATTTTGAAGACCATTGTCAGCGCCTAACATGCATAGGAAGTATGTTGAATAAAGATCTGTTTGGCACTGACTCGTGACGTATCCTCATCATAAACATGTGATCATTGTCAGAATAGCTCTTAGACTGAAGTATAAGGATTACATAACAACGTACGCTATTTTGAAGACCGCTGTCAGTGTCCAACATGCCTAGGAAGTACGCTGAATACAGATCTATTTCTCACTGACGCGTGACAATTTTCAGAATAAATCATAACTGTGATATTATTTACTGTTTTTTAACATGTATCCCCATGATAAACACGTGAATATTTTCATAATAACTCTTGTAATAAAGTATAAATAACGGCCATGATAACATGTGTTATTTTTTAAGACTATTGTTAGCGGCCAAAAATTATAGAAGTACTGTGAACACATATTTGTTTGTCACTGACTCGTGACATTTTGCAAAACAACTCAATAACTTTGATAGTATTCAATGTTTTTTTACATGTATTGTTATCATAGACAAATGACCATTGTCAGAATAACTCAGAATATTAAACTACATGGATTACATAGTAACATACGTTGTTTTGGAGATGATGGTTAGCGTTCAACATACCTAAAAATTGCGGTGAGTACGTATTCGATGATTGTTGAAATTGAATCCCTATCATATTCAATTTGTAGTAGATGGGAAAAAACCTGACCCATATGACATCTTCACCGGCGATGTGTTTGGCGGAGGAGATAGAAAGTGAGTGGGGACATCTGAGTGGTTTAAGTTGTTAATCAACGGACCTTCATCAATTTGTAACATACGTTGTTTTGGAGCTGAGTGTTAGTGTTCAACATCCCTACAAATTGCGGTGAGTACATGTATCCCTATCATATTCAACATACCTAGAAATTGTGGTGAGACATGTGACCATTGCTCGAAAAGAGGGTGCAAATAGCGATTCATGTGATATATATGCCTCTCTCACTTCAGTCTTATGTTCCCCCGTCTTTTGACCCTCCGCCACCCGTTGCCCCAACGAGGGGACAAATAGCGATTCGTGCGTGTGACGAAAAAATGTGTGTGACGACCAAATGTTGAGTGACCCCAACCACATGTGATCCCCTCACTTCATGACATGTTTCTCCAATTTTTTTTGTCACTACATCTTCGTTGTCCGTAACAAGTGCGCAAATAGCGATTCACGCGCGCGTGACAAAGCGCAAGAATGGTATACACCCCATTTGATCAATCTGCCTCCCTCGCGTCACTTCATGTTTCCCCTTCTTTTGTCACCTACGTCTTACCCACGTTCAAAGCAATGGTCATGTTGCATGGTGAACCTCCTCGGTGGTCCATAACGAGGCCGCAAATAACAACTCATGCACGTGACAACATAATACGAATGTAATACACCCCATGTGATCAATCCCCCTCCCTCACATGAGTTCATGTTTTTTCTTTTTTGGTTACCTACGTCTTACCTACGTCCAAAGTAATGGTCGTGTTCCGTGGTGGGTCTTGGCGGTCCACTACGAGGGCGCAAATAACGATTCATGGGCGCAACGACAAAATGCGAATGTAATACACCCCATGTGATCAATCCCCCTCCCTCACATGAGTTCATGTTTTCCCTTTTTTGGCCAACTGCGTCTTACCTACATCCAAATCAGAGCAGATCGTGTTCCGTTGTGGGCCTTGGCGGTCCACTACGAGGGCGCAAATAACGATTCATGCGCGCAACGTCAAAATGCCAATGTAATACACCCCATGTAATCAATCCCCCTCCCTCACATGAGCTCATGTTTTCTCTTTTTTGGTCAACTACGTCTTACCTACGTCCAAATCAGAGAAGATCGTGTTCCGTGGTGGGCCTTGGCGGTCCACTATGAGGGCGCAAATAAAGATTCATGCTCGTAACGACAAAATACGAATGTAATACACCCCATGTGATCAATCCCCCTCCCTCACATGAGTTCATGGTTTTCCTTTTTTGGTCAACTACGTCTTACCTACGTCCAAATCAGAGCAGATCGTGTTCCGTGGTGGGCCTTGGCGGTCCACTACGAGGGTGCAAATAACGATTCATGCGCGTAACGACAAAATGGAAGTGTAATGGACCTCATCTGATCAATCTTCATCCCTCACATGAGTTCATGTTCCCTTTTTTTTTCACCTACGTCTTACCTACATCCAAAATGATCATCGTGTTCCGTGGTGGGCCTTGGGGGTCCACTACGAGGCCGATGTGAACAATCTGCCTCGTCCCTCATCCATGCGACAAATAAGTGTGACATAGATACGTGGTTTTCGTATACTTTCACAACCACTGTTCCTCCCTCCGTGCATTCCCCGACCCCCTCCTGTTCACCTTATCATAATTTTTTCATGAATCATTATTTTTTCGTCCCGTCTGCACGACCAGTGGCTACAACTGCTGAATTTTCATCAGATGCCTTCCACATCCCGAAAATATAATATTGTAAAATCCATCAGATTAGTCCAACGAATTAAGAGCTGGATCAACCAGGTAGTGGAAGTAACGAGCAGCCGCAAGGAGCGATGGCCGAGGCGCACGTAGGCACGTCACGTCGGCCAGCCTACCAAAAGAACATCGAACAACCGTGAAACGTGCAATGAGCTACTGAGACGCCGCGAAGTCCGGCTGTTTGAATTGCAGGTGAACTTCCCCTTCGTAGGCCATCTCCAACAGCAAGGTACCGCACAATCCAACACAGCCCGCCGCACCCGCTCACAAACAACACCCGCCCACACCACACCCTGAGATCGCAAGATAACGACACAATCCGAACAACGGCGCGCGCGAATGAACCGCCGACCACTTCAGTCCACAGCCGGATGCCACCGCCCACCCAAAACGTACCGAAAACGAAGTGCACCGCCTCATCTGTCCATCAAGAAACAAGGGTGAAGAGAGAAACGAATGCACCACTCCTCTAACACGCCCGGACGGACGGAAAACCTCCACCTATGCACGGGGGTGCAAAAGGAACACCCCCTCTCCCCCCTGGACCACATGCGCCTGTTGCTGTGGGCACCACCAACAGAACTCGACTCAAGCGAAACCCAGGAGACAGAGGACAGTAGCCTTCAAAGCCCACAACCTAAACGATGCGGAACCACAACGCAACGCGATCTGTCACGGTGTGTGGCATACCGAGACAACAGGGGGACACGACGGGCACAAGCGCGCATTCCAACAAGTCCGACAGATGCCGGACCCAGCCTCGCGACGCCGTCGGAGCGTGCATCGCCGTCGGAGGGTGCATCACGCATCCCACAAGTCCTGCCCTCGCATAGGGAAAGCAGCGGGTGCAGGGCCGAGGCCACCTGCGCCACCGCTCAATGGCGCCGCTCAGATGGCGAAGAGCGCAGAGCGTCCTCACCAACTCGTGATACCCCCTGAACACAAACAGAACGCGCCGTTATAAGTGCGGACATGAAGACAACACCACAACAAAGCCGCAACCGCTCTCCTCGAAACCTACAGGATGATGGTGTCGAAGCTGGGAGTCGGTGACGGGTACCTCTACGTCCACACCCTCCAAACGACCGCCAACCGAACAGCCGTCGACGATCAAGCGCAAATCATCACAAGACGATGAGCGAGGGTGAATGCAACGATCCACAACCCGACCCCACGACATAGGAAAGCCCCGACAGCCGTGACCACCTCCAGCGACGACCGAGCTGTCGTGAAATAAGCCCTCCGAGAGAGACGACCATGGACCCGCACGGCGGCACAAAAATGTTCGCTCGACCACCAAAGAACGACTCGCCCGTCTCTCGCAAACCAGACCACCCAAAGCGTGTACAGAGAGTCCCTCGTAACTCGAGTACAAGCTCCCAAAACCCACGCCCGACACGTCGCCTTCATCGACTGCAAGGGGGCTGCTAAGCACGCAGGCCCCTATAAGAGTGCAAACGGGACTCCRAACCGCCAACCACCGACTGTTTGGCACATCCGGAGGGTGCTCACTGAGCCATCCGCCAAGGGACCTGCACATGTTCCTTTCCAGCAAGCTGACTGGACAGACCCCAATGCCGATGTCCCCCTCGGGACCTCATCCCTTTCCGCTCTCAATAAGACGCCTCTGGACATTGGAATCTGGGAGACCCCCTTTTCTCGAGGCCGTTCCTACGCCCGAGTGGCAGTGCGCGGTATCTGCTGCCCCCACAAAATTCGACACCTCAAAAGTCCGTCCCATCTCCGTCCCTTCCACACACAAA